GAGAGAGAGAGAGAGAGAGAGAGAGAGAGAGAGAGAGAGAGAGAGAGAAAGGGAGAGAAAGGGAGAGGACGTATACGTATGCGTGTGTGAGAGAGAAAAAGGAAAAGAGAAGGAAAGCGAGAGAACGTATATAAGCGCGACATAAAGAAAAAAAAACAATATATTAATTATTGCGTGGTACGAACAGAACTGTGATATTTTATTGTATAACTTTGCGAAAGAGACGAGAGAGAAATATGAAGAAAAAAAAAAAGAATCTCTAAGGAATATACTATTACTATGTGCGAAGGGGGATATTACTGTATTTTACAAAAGAAGTGCATCCTTAAACGCAATTAAGTAAATGCAATTGTGCGGGAACTGTACATACACCTGGTGTCTCCTTAAAGATTATAGGGTGCCCTTGATTTTTCGGGTCGGCTGCGAGAGTAACGTGAACGTGAACGGAAGGGAGAGAGAAAGGGCGAAATTAAGAAAGGGTGGGAGAGAGAGAGAAAGACACTCTATTTGTTCGATAGAGACGCGAAAAAAGAAGGAAGCTCTGTCCAGTCGTTCTCGCGACTTTATATGAGGATATGCTCGGTGTTCTCGGGCCGCTATCGCGCGCCCCTTGTCTGATCGTTTCCTGTTTGTAAAGATATATGTATAAAAAAAAAATATATATATACATACATGTATAAACTAAATGTGTTTCGTAAGCGACAAGCGTATGCACGGAGCCGAACGACCGCAACTGCGACGTATCGAGTGATTGCGCGAAGAAAAAGAGGGAGAGGGAGAGAACGGAATAATAACTAGCGTTAAGCACATTGTGTCTGCGAATCTCGAAACGTCGAGCCACACAAATCACCAACGCGGTGTCCCCCGCGCGCCCCGCGCTTCACATCGGCCTGCATCGTAGTCTCGAGCGAAATGCGCTCGCGAGTAATAAACAACGCGTTCCCGGGCGCGTGTGTTGCATTCGCGCGTGTGTCAGCGCGTAAGTTCACGCGCGTGTCTCGACAATGCGGGCGCATTAGCGCGTGCATTTTGTTGTGCACGCTAATGCGCGTGTAATCGCGTGTACGTGTTAATGTACACGCGCGGCGCGCTAATGCGTGTGCGCTGATACGCTTACGGATATGCGTGCGCGCGAGAAGTCGCGTGTCCGTTATTCGCGAGTGGACCTCGAACACGTCGAGCTGTGTACATTTCCTGGCATCCCCGTCATCGTCGCGCGGCTGTGCCGTAAGCTCCCCCGCGTCTCGAGGTCGAATTGTCCGGCGCGGCGAAGCAACGGCGGCCGTTGCGAACCAGCCGATTCGGCAAGCCGCGGACAATCGCCGCGGGGTGACGCGAAAACGGGAGTGCGGCGATAGACGAGGCGATTGAGTGCAGAGAAATCGTGGACTTTGCGAGGCCAGTTTTAAAATAGGAGCTTTTCTCCTTCTTCGTCTTCTTCATTATTTTTCCTTTTCCAACATTATTTCTACCGTTAGAACTCCTCCAAATTTAATTGACGTCCTCGTTACAGCCAAACTCGGCAAAATGGACAGCTAAATTTATCTATATTCAAATAGATGCAATAAGAGATGAACAGACGCGTTTGAGTGCAAGCGCGCTTCGAGAATACAGGCTTTCATTTCTGCTGAACGCGCGTATGAAACGCAACACTGAGCGAAGCGTTCTCGATAAACGCGCGATTGTCAGATTGCGAGAGGAAACAATCGTCTGTTTTCATTGTACCGACTATTGCCGACCACGGGGAACGTGGTGCGCCTTTTCTCAGCTGCGCGTTTTTTCTGCACTTAAAACAGGATGCGTTAAAACGGGAATGCAGGAAGTGTAGCTGAAAGTGCTCAAAGTTCCCGAGGAATCATCGCCGGGGGACCCGACCACGCTCCGCACACGACAGACCATAATTGAGGATTAAAAAAAAAAGAAATAGCCATAAGAGATGATTCTTTCCGCCGCGTCGCAGCCAGTTACACGTTCTATCTCGTACTAGAATATAGCGGATTAAAGTATACTGCACACACGAGCGCGCGAGTTTCGCGAACACCGTTTAACTCTTTGAGCGGCAGTCAATTAGGGGGAAGAGAGATCGTCTGTGACGCGACGAAATAATACAAAAGAGCAAAAAAAGTAAGAGCAAAATAAAAGAAACGTAAGAGAGAAATTTATTTAGACACGTAGCGAACGCCCAAGAGCGAACGAATGGAATTCTCATTCGAAAATGCGGTGGTCGGCAGTCTAATCGCAGCCCGACGAAGAGTTAAGCGAGCGCGTCGCCGCGAGATCCGCGAAAAAGGGGGAAGAGAGAAAGGAGAAGACAGTGAGTGAGAGAAAGAGAGAGAGTGTATGTGTATGTGAGAGAGAGAGAGAGAGAGAGAGAGAGAGAGAGAGAGAGAGAGAGAGAGTCAAATCTCGGCGGCCGAGACTCAAAGGAACGAGGATGGGATCGTCCCGCATGTTTCCGTATCACGTAGGTTCCCCACGTGTCTGTAGAGTTCTTCTTAACGCGAGCACGATGCGTATGTACAAACGATGACGCGATGGAGCTCGTTGCTCTGCTCAGCAGCGCGGCCGGGATTCGTATGTCGATTCGCGCCAAGTTCTTCGAGCCTTGCGAACACCAAATTTTGAACGAGCAATGTTATTCCGAAATTTTATGAAAAAAACAAAAAAAGGATTAATTAGAAGCTCAGTTCTCCCTTTTTCCTCTTAAGATAAAAGTACCAATGCCTGCACATATAACCTAATCTAACCTAACTTTGAACATTCTTATTGTTTTGGCCCTTAAATATGAATATTTAAACTTTCTCACAATATAGAGAATATAATGTATATATATTCAATATATATGTACAGAGAAAAACAACATTTTCCTGTTTGGAAAGTATCTTTATTTTTTACACAGAGAAATCTGTTTCTATTATTCAAAAATAATTTTTATTAATTAAGAAGCACGAAATATTGGGACCGCGAGTTTAAAAAATTAACGAGAACATACTTTTGCACATTTTAACAAACTTGAGATCCAAGTTCGATGAATTTGTAATCGACGATGCGATTGAAGATAACTGTTACAAATTAACGTATTAATTTATGTTCATCGTCGACGCGACAGCGTGGGATCGATTGCGATTAACATAGTTCATTTTCGGAGCGAAACGGATTTGGCTCTGCGTGACGTCAAACCAGTCCGCTGTCCTACATCTAAACACATAATATGTATCTATTTCCACGCCAAAAGGCAAAACAACGTTCGTTTCAATTTCAAGATAATTAATTAACTGTGCATACGGTCGATAATTCCGAACCGCGAGAACGTCGAGAGTGGAGGCAGTTCGCAGAAGATATCACGACGTACGAATCCTTCGTGCTGTTCCGTTTCAAGAACTTGAAAATCAGAGGGAACTCTTTCGCGCGTGAGTCTGCGAGAAGGAAGAGCTGTCCGCGCTCATTTGGAGCACATCTTGCGATGCCGCTGTTAAATGCAAGAGAGAGAAAGAGAAAAAGAACGCCATTCATCTAATTCCGGGTCATAACGCGACGACGCGATTGTTGCAAGAGGGGGGAACATAGTTCCGTGAAAAAATAAAGACTCCGAATCGACGTGTCTCTCGCATTTAACGTTAAGCTTGCGTTAAAACCTGCGAGCCGAAAAAGCACGACCAGCGATCGCGAGAAAACGTCGAAGACTGTTTGACTGTCCTCTGTGTGAATTGTTGTTTCGTCAATGTGATGACTCGCGTATCGAATGTACAATCGTCGTGTGTGCACTTGCTTGTTAGCGTGAAACTTTAATCCTTCAGCTGCGCCATACGGATAACACTCTTGGAGACGACTTTTCAATCGTGTAGTTTAACCTGAGATTTAAGTTTAATCTCCGTACCAATCTCGTACACATCTCGACGGAATAAAGTACTTAAATCTGAGTTTAAACTGCTACTGCAAAATCGGTCCTTATTCCTTCATAAAGGCGCATCACAGTTGTGATACGTCGTCCTGACTTGTCATTTTCCTATTAATCGTCATAAGGAATAATTATGTAAACTAACTGACGAGACTTTAATTGTTGAAAACTTTGCTCGCTTTTACTGGGAAAGTTTCTCGTTAACTTGTATACATACACGGTATTTGTGGCTAAAGGATTAAAAACGAAAGATAGAAAGAGAGTGTGTATGTGTGTGTGTGTGTGAGAGAGAGAGAGAGAGAGAGAGAGAGGGAAAGAGAAAGAAAGACAGCCCCCTCGTCCCTCGCAGAGTTTGTCCAGAATGTCTAGATATAATTGAACCGAGTCTCTCGCCGTACCGACGACGTCCGATTTTCAAAGATTTTGCGACCACTTCTCGAGTCTACGTCCCGTACGCACAGCTCTGTAAAGCAACACCCGCCCCAAAACATCGACACTAATTGTTCGTCCTTTTTAACAAATATAACAGAACTTACGTCTTATGTCTCGTTTTTGCGAGAGCGTGCGAGGCGGTATGTCATTGCAGTGGAATTTCTCCTTCGCGAGAGGAAGTGGAGGAGAAGGTGATGGAGGCGACGGCGGAGGAGGAGGAGGAAGAGCAGGAGAGGTATAACGGAAGGATTGTCGCACTAGCATTGCACTGGCTTGCCGTTTCGTCGCGGTCTTTTGTAACCCTGTGTCACCCGACTTAATCGAGCGTCACGAAACGATCCGGGAATCGGGCTATCGATCGGATCGCTCGCTTTACGGCCTGTAAACGTAACGCGGGAGAATATCGTTACGAAGTTTCGCCATGCTGGCCACCGATTATCTATAGTTCCAAGGACTTAATGCGTGGGTAATTTAAGCTCACGCGACAAAAAAAGAGTCGCGCAACGAGCAAGTAGAAAGAAAGGCAGCGCGCGGCCTGCATCGTCAGAGCCGAAGGAGAGGGAGCATTTTAAATGCGATTTTCCAGATCGGGGTCGTGTGCGCCCGCCGGTGCGTGATGATTTGAAATTTCTTTCCATTCGGAGGGATGTCGCGCGCAACGTACACTGAGAAAGAAAATACTTGAAAATTTACTCGTGGGATACACAAACTCATTTCATAGAAATGAACTTCGTTTCTCAGAGATAGACCTTATATCCCGCAAATAAAGTTTCAGGTGTTCTTTTCAGTGTTCAGTGTATACGCCATCAATTCAACGATGAGACACGACACTTCGTGCGTCACTTCAGTCGTTCAAAAAGCATCTCAGCGGCTCCGCGACGCCGATCGCGAAAATACGATCACCACGATCGTCGAAAAGCGGCGCATAAAATGGCCGACTCGACATGAAACGTATTATGAAGGTATAGAGGAATGGCAGGATAACGATACCTCTTCTATAAACGATCGCCGCGCATCGCTTTGGACATACCTCGGGCTTCCCTTTTTCGCAGGAATGTTACGTCGCTCCGATTCACGTTGTTTTCCCGTATAATGGGAGGAAAAATGATCGCAGAACATTACGCGCGCACTAAACTGGTCAACCGGAAGGGAACAATGCTTGCTTGATCGAATGGCGGAAACGAACTCGTCTGACCGATATAGTGCTGCCACCTTACGGAGAGAGAGTTAAACTAAGACTCAAGCCGCATCAGTAAAACAGATCGCCTTCGCGTTCCCTCAAGGCTCGTTTACAATACGCGGAATAACCTTGGTATAAGGTGAAAAATGAAAATAATACATTTCACTTACTATATATTTTCTATATTCCAACTCTCTTACTTAAAATAAATATTCCCAATGTCATTTTTATGTCTCACTCCAACTTACGCCAAGCTCACACCTTTGGTCTGTTCTTTTCAGCTGCACTGCTGAACTGCAGTGCAATAAGTTAAAGTGAGACAAGTATATGTTTTCTCACTCTAATTTATTGCACCAGTTCAGCAGTGCAGCTGAAAAGAACAAACCACATGTATTGCAGACGAGCCCTATGTGTCATCGCGCAAACAGCTGACAACACTCTAAGAGATGGCGGCTGTGTGTCGGATCAATGGTACCGCGTTGTGCGTCAAACAAACTGCCTAGGATACAATTTCCTCTTTAAATGTGTAAATAAACACCGTGCTATTTATCATGGCATTCCTGGAGGTGGGTGTCGCATGCTTTATACGCGTTGCCTCGTGTCTTACTCACGCGATAACCTGACCGACATCGCGCTGACGCGATATTGTTCTTTCAGTGGAGGCGCTTTAATTTCTTCGATCTGAAGAAGGAGGTTGACGAGAGAAAAATCGCCGAAGCATTCGGAGTAAGACAATTTTTTCGATTTTAATTATCGTTCGATAATTATTGTTTATTCACGTTTCTGTTTGTTGGAAGTGGAAATTGTTTTCTTATCGTGTTATCTGTGCATTTTTTGTACAGGACGCGCAAGTCACAGCGGCCACCAGTGGCAATGGCAATCTGGTGTTTGGCGATAACACGGGCAACGTACATTTAATAAACAGAGCTTACGAGGTGACAACTTTTCGAGCCTATGAGCTCACTTTGGTTTTAGCACAACAAGTTCAACATTCCACCTTCCTCTTTACTATTGGTGTAAGAGTGCCGTTATGATATTTTTCTCACAGAGCATAAATTCTCAATTGGACATTTCAGCAGATTTAATTGATTTCTCTCTTACTGTACAACAGGAAGATGAGCCTGGTTGCAATCCCACTATAAAAGTTTGGAATTTAGCTAAGCCTGATAAACATGGCAATCCGACATGTGTTCGAATAAGCAGAGCCATACCTAGTTATAGAGCAGTTCCAGCAACAGCTCTGTGTGTCCATACTAGTCTTACATTAATGACTGTTGGCTTTGGAGATGGTTCCATTATGCTGTATAGGTAAACAGAATGTTCCTGTATTTATTTTATCATAATTCTTATTTTTAGCCTGTTTTTTTCAGCTGAATTAAGTTGCAGTCTTTTCTTTTAGAACAAAATAACTGAATAGACATTGAAAGAAAAAGGAACAATGTTGCAGTGTAACACTAGTGCACTTAAAAAAATAAGCCTTTTATCTCAGACAAAATAAATAGTATTTAAATATATTAGCAATATATGAAATTTTTTGCATTACTATTTTTGTTTTACTTTTTTGCATTATTATCTTTGTCTGACTTTTCCAACATTGTTATCTTTGTCTTTTATTTCTTCATGTTATGATAACATACAACAATCTCAATATCTGCACATATTCTACTTTCATATTTTCTAGGGGTGACTTGACGCGAGAGAGAAAAAATAAGATAAAAGTCCTGAAGGATACTAATCTGTCTATTACCGGTCTCGCGATAAAATCAACCGGCAAGCAGACGCATCTGTTCGTCTCTACACAAAACAGCGTGTTTTTATACAATATTACCATTAAGGATAAAGAACACAAATCCACTTTGGACACTATGGGTTGCGCGCGAAAATGCAGCGTGCTCGCTGAGTCGATACAGGACAGTCACTTTATGATCGGACGCAATGATGTACGCGATTCGCTCGTATCCTCTCTGTCGTTTCGTACGAATAAATTCTGAAACTTTGTGAAATTTTCAGGCTATTTATTGTTATACACCGGACGGTAGAGGCCCGTGCTACGCGGTGGAAGGTCAAAAAATAATGCTAGAATGGTTCAGGACGTACCTAGTAATAGTGGTGAAAGAAGCGACAAACGTTCTGAGAACGACGACTATATCCGGCAAATCGAAGTAACAATTACACACACGCACACCTCTTCCCTCTAGTTCTTTTATATTTATGTTTATAATGTGCATTGAATGCTTCTAGCACGATAGAGCCGATACCACCTGGTGTAGACAAGCACGTCATCACTGTGCTTGACATACAAAACAAATTTATCGTGTTCTCCGCGCCGATGTTGTCTGTCCAGGCGGTCCTGTCCGAATGGGGTGGATTTTTCATACTCAGTGGAGATAACAAGCTATATCATTTAGACGAGAAGGACTTGCAGTCTAAATTAGCGTTACTTTTCAAGAAGAATTTGTACGATGTTTCTATCAGGTATAATGTAAAACAATGAGTTACTTCATAATTCTATTGGAACTTTTAGACAACTCTTGATAATAGAAAGACATGTATCGTTGCAGAATAGCTAAAAGTCAACAATACGACGCTGAAGGCCTCATAGACATCTTCCGTCAATACGGCGATCATTTATATTCTAAGGGTGATCATAACGCCGCGATAGAACAATACATAAAAACCATAGGCAAATTAGAACCATCCTACGTGATAAGAAAATTCTTGGATTCCCAGCATATCGATAATTTAACAACGTATTTGCAAGCTTTACATAAAAATGGACAAGCAACTGGGGATCATACTACTTTACTGTTAAATTGTTACACTAAACTCAATCATACGGACAAATTGAAAGAATTCATTATGGTAAGTTGTATATGAGCGTCACAAACGTTCCTCAATAATAATAGCGATAATGATATATATATATATATATATATATATATATATATATATATATATATATATATATATATATATA